AAAAATCCTTGCGATACGATATTCCGAGTTACTGTCGTTGTACTGCATTTTTACAAAAACACTCGTTTTGATCCGCGCGCGACAGCGGATCAAGAAGAAACATGATTCTAGGTCAAAAGTGCCTTGGAAGTGAGTTGACTTTTGTTGACTGAAAAATATGTTCATCTGAGACCCATAACTTGATGGCATCATAACTTGAGTTCCACAAACCCAATAGACGAGTTCTAGTACTCAAAAGAAATTTTAGAACATGCCCTACAAGTCTCATGTTTATAAGAAAATGAGATTCAACTTGTATCTTGAGGTAAATGGTCCTTGAAGTTAGCTTCTAAAGAAGGGAATTTTACACTGACATCCTCTTAAACCCTAATTTAGTAACTCCTTAGACTCTTGATTCTTCTTGATTTGAACTTGAAATGACATACTAGATGTCTCAACATGAATTCCCATGACTTCAATGACTTAGAACTAAGTCTCAAACTCCTTCAAATCCACAGTGGACCTTGCACCAACCAGATGAAACCCTAGGTGCACAACCTTTGACTGTGACCTCTTGCACATGATATGAAACTTAGATAAGCTCCTCAATGGCTTCAAAAGCACTCAATGAGATCCTCAAACATCTCCTATCCATAACCATGGACTTGTGAATCCCTGAGGATCCTCAGTGGACCCCAATAGGGCTGGAAATGAGTTGAGTCGAGTCGAACTCACCTCAGCTCGGCTCGACTCGTTAAGAATTGTTCGAATTCGAGTTCGAGTTCGAGTTCGACACGAACTTTTTTTTAAGCTCAAACTCGACTCGTTATAAGTTCACGAACAGTTCGGTTCGACTCGTTAGGTTCATCTCATTAGGTTCAGCTCACATGGTTCACGAACTTAAAAACTATTTTTTTAAATATATATATTTTTTAGTATATTTGACATTTTAAATAAATATATATATTTTTAAATAAAATATTAAAATAAAATAAAAGTTATCATATTGAAATTTAACTTTATCTTCGAAATCTACTAATTCAAAACCTACACAACTTTCAAGAGATACATTTGAGAGTCTAATTCAAAAACTAATAAATTGAAGATTAAATTTGTCTAAGATTTGAAGTAAATATTTAAACCTAATCTTAAGGACAGTATAATTCTTTTCATATGTAATCGAGTTGACTCATGAACCTAACGAGTCGAACTATGTATAGTTCAAGTTCAGCTCATTTAGTTAACGAACTTAATTTTTCGCTCATACTCAACTCATTTGGTTCATGAACCTAGTTCAACGATTTAATTGTCGAGTCGAATTCCGAACTATCTTCGAGTTGGTTTGGTTCATTGCCAGCCCTAGACCCCAAGATAGGAGGTAAGCCACATACATCAATCTTCTTTCTCAAAGAGTCTGACCACTTCCTGATGATTGTGAACACTTGATAACTTGAATAAGCACTCATGCTTGAGCTTGAAACCCTTGAGAACCTTCTCTTGATCCCCTGCAAAGGACAATGCTATGCAAATGCAAATGCTAAAGAATGAAATGAAACATAAGCTAAGTAAAGAAAAAGGTTGAGAAAATTTTGGGGTACAACAATGAGGAGCAGTGATATTCGATATGCAGACCAGCCATCCAGAGTATAGCGATATGTCTTCAAATGTTCGTGTTTGACGGTAATCTATATAGCAGTTGAAGTGGATGTCCTCGACAGCTAAACGATCAAGATAGACTCTAAAAGGCTCGACCGCTTGACTCCCTCTCAGTGGGATAAAAGCACAGGCACAAGGCATCTCCTCAATATACTCATCCCAACACGCTCAGCCAGTGATGCACGGAAAGTGTTGGAGGGTCCAAGCTTGAAATGAAAATAAAAAGCATTCAGGGATCAAGAATTATCGCAAATATGAAATGAAAAAGATAAAAAAAAATCATTCAAAAATAAAAAAAATTATTACCACCAGTAGTGTCGTGCTGCCCGTGACTTGCTTCGTCCTCCATTGACATCCACCTTTCAACTTCGAATACAGATAGGTCAGGCAAGTCACCCCCAGTTGTATTCATGGATCCGTGTGAGATCCAAGAAGTACCAAAGGTATGCAATTTTAGTATAAGTGACACTCGTATCCACAAAAATCACAATGTCAACTAAATAAAGAAAATATGCTCTCAGAGCATGAGTCCTATATTATAAATAATCAACGTAAACAATTTAAATTAACATAAAAAAATAAATAATAAAGTACACTAACGTTATCTCTCCGTCCCAAATATGTCTCGCAATGTGGTATGGATACAGAGGAAGTAGGGACATATAAGATGGACACCCTCCGAAAGCTTTTGGATCGACATCAGCAATTTCACCCTCCGGAGGTGGCACCGATACATCAAGATCATCAGCAGGAGGTGAAATCAATGCAGCAGGATCATCAGCGGAAGGTGGCACCGGTGAATCTCGACGCCTGCGGGAGGATGGGGGAAGTGGTGCGTCAGCTGGTGCATTCTGTGGTCTGCGGGAAGAAGAAGTAGAAGGTGGAGTGGGCTGAGGAAGTGGCGCGTCAGCTGGTGCATCTCGTGGTCTGTGGGAAGAAGAAGTAGAAGGTGGAGTGGGCTGAGATGTAGATGGAGTGACCTGATGTGAAGGTCGAGCCTCAAGAGTGGAGTGAATCTCAATAGTAGATTGTGCCCCAACAGTCGACGCCTCTTCCTGACCAGAGGTACCTGCTGCCTCTAGAACCGGATGGCTCCACTTCTGTCGAATGAATGCGTGCTGGGAAACTTGTTCATGCCTCATTCGGTCGGCTATGTCAACCATTATGTCTGCAAGGTAAAATTAGTCGTATAATGAGTTAACTCAAAAGAACAACACAAACAAGAATATTATAAAATAAAAAATAAAAAAACAGACTGGGGAAATTCCAGAGATATATCTACGAAAATATTCTGGAGATGTATCTCTAGAATTTTCCAAAGCACATAAAACATTGATTTTTTTTGGAACTCAGAGGTCGCGACAATGACGTCCTTTGCCCCTCAGAATGTGAAATTTGAAGTCCTGATCGTCTATTTGAGCCAACAAACAATACATACTCTTACTCTAAACAATGTATTAGTTGATTTCTAATCATTTCTACACCTAACAACGGATTCTAACTCGTTTACAACAAAACTCGAATATTTACCGAAAGTTCAAAAAACTTATCTGAAATTTATAATTTGGAAGATATTGAATGATGAACTGGATGGTGCTTGATAATTACTTGAGCCTCAGACGAATGAAATCAAATTTGGTGAATTTGGAGAAATTTGGAAATGAGTGAGTGAAAGTGTTTGTGACTGAAAATGAAAAATGAGGGAGGAGAAGAAGAGTTTGGCGTGTTAATATGCTCCAAAACGTTTTGGAGATATATTTATAGAATATTTCAACGTTCAATTAGATTTTGGTGCGTCCGAAAATATATCTACAAAATAATTTAATGTTTAATTAAAATTTAATGCGTCCAAAATTATATCTCCAAAATTAAAAAAAGCCATGTAAAATTTTATACTATAGAAAAGAAAGACATAAAGTACAATAAAAAAAATACTCAAAAGTTATGGATGAACATGTACTTTCTATAATCCACCTCCACATAACCTATCGTCCGAATTCTTAGATGTCCAAGCAATCACTAGTGAAAAATTCAACCTACAATAACTTCACACTCGTCGTTCTCCTCATAGAATGAGAGAAATTACTCAATATTGACATGATTTAGAAATCATTTGCATTGGATACAAAATGAATGACATTGAAGAAAACACAAGGTTAAAGAGGTAGAAGAATGACACGACGAATATACACGTGGGTATGGTAAAGGAGAATCAACTTTCAATAATTTGATTTGAATTATAATATTTATTTATGTATTAATTATTTTTGTTTAATAGAAAAGAGTTTAATGTATTAATTATTTTGTTCGATAAAAAAGAGTTTAATATGCATTGTAAAAAAGAGTTTATAAAAAAAATTTACAAAGTTCCAATGAAAAATCATTATTCTATCAATGTAAAATAATTTTACTCTTTCTCTATTTTTTTCATAAAAAATAACATGACAAATTCATGTATCCAACTAGAGCATTACCATCATCAATTAATTGTTGCATATTAAAAATATTACATATTAGTTTTTTTCAAAAATACTTTTCATAGTTAATTATAATTGTAAATAAACTATTTATAAAAATATCTTTTACTTTATAAATAAAATAACAATTTAGTTATCACTTCATTATATTTTTTTTACGCAATTTGATTTTATTTAGTTTTAAAAAAATCAATTTAAAATTCAGTTTGGGTATGACATCCAATAACATTCAGACTTGTACCATTTTAATTTTGATGATAAATTTGTGACTTTAATTTGAATTTAAATACCATTTCATTAATTAATAGTGATAAAAAAATTACGAACAAAAATGCTTATAAAAAAGCAGGTATTGATGTTTTTTCTGATTCCACAACACGTCACAGCAAAGTAGGTATTGATGTTTTTCTGAACATTTCGCCATTTATCTTCTATCTAGAGTAATTTTGCCCAACATACATACAAAGAGGCACATCTTGGTTCTGAGTATTTAATTTCCCGTTTACTTTCAAAGGTGCATTATAAATTAATTATCAGCATGCAAGTGTACTCGTTCACACATTATTCTTATTACAAATATGTATATTACCAGATCCTATCCTTTGATCTGCAAGATACTTGGCATGCACATTTTAACTCTACAAACTTCAAATTACATTTTTTGCAGACCCCTCTAAGTTAGTTTTAAAAATAATGGTCACATAATTCTACACCAGAATTATGAATTCCGCAGTGAAAATACTCAAACTCAGGATTTGATTACCATGGTTGAAACAATAATTCACAGCATTGTGTTACAACTTACAAGGTCTCACTATCTTTGCATACTAGGCCGGGGTAGAAACCATCTGCTTCTTTTGTTAAATGGATAGTATGATTGAAAAATCACTACGCTTCAGTGAAAAGATAATGAAGTAAGGGTGCGACAACTGATATGCTTAAACTGTTCCCGAGCAATGCATACCTGTGTAGAAAGAACACTATTTAAAAAAATAAAAATAAAAAGCAGAATGCCAATGCAAAGCAAAAACAAATTGAAATTATTCTACACAGGAATTCAAAAGTATTGTTTAATCCGACAAAACACCATACCGTTGTTTGAGACTGATGTGTTCTGGAAACTTGAAATCTTCAGGAAAAGAATGTAGGTTTGCAACCTAGTTGCAGGATGACAAATACTTTTTAAATTAGTAATACTGCTTGAAATCAAAACAATATAATTTTATAGGTACGTGCATTCTTGTGCATGTGTTCATGTTTACGCATGATAGACAAAGTTTTACAAAAGTGCATGATATCCCTGAGAATAAAGAAAATTCACTCACCTCTCTTGGTGTAAAGTACCTAAGACGCTGCTCCTTGAGTGATGTTTTGTCCCTCTTCATTGGCTGCACATTCAAATTGAGTTACTAACGATAGCAAAGAGTGAGACAAGTATAATACGTACGAGAATCGCTGCAAAATCATGAGAAAAATATTTCTGTACTATCACTGTGGTTATTTGAAAATATGTATGAGAAGAAATAACTGAAACACCATGGTTGTTTGAAAATATGTATGAGAAGAAACATATGCAAACTGTACCATAATAATTGTATTATATCTGAATCGATTCTGAAAACTGCATATTTAGTGACAAATATAGAGAAACTTTTAACATCAAATGGATAACCATTCCAAAGTTTGTATGTTAATCTATCCTTTCACAAAACTGTGAATAGCTACCAAACATAAGATGTCGAGGATGACTATTAAGCACAGAGTAGCAGCCGAGTGCTTCAAAGGGATAAATGAATTGCAGTGTTATGCCGTATGCATATGGTCAAGAAAGGTTTCTATTAAGAATTTCTAACCTGAACAGTTGCCAAAAGGGAGCCAGTTCCCTTCACATATCTGTAATAACTTTTTGTAAAACAGCAGCAGCGCTTTGAATCAGGGTACACAACATCTAAGCTCTTTTAAGGAAAGGGGTCCAGAGAGAATATAATTGAAGCATAATTTTTCTTGAGAATAAATAGTGTTTAGTTATACATGATGATTAAAATATGTCCAAAACCAATAGATGGGATAAGGATACCCATAGCACTTCCCCACCGCTCTAACAAGCTTGGGTGAACGTAATACTTGTCTAAAGAATCGTATTCATGCTCGTTATCTTCTCCTGAAGTTCTAGAAATGTCATTGGACACACCGGTCGTAGAAGCCGCAGATTCAACATCTGTATCATTGCTAGGATTCTTTAATACAAGAAACTTCTCAATAGGTTGACATGACTGCAACAAATTGTGTCTATCCTCTAGTGATAAATCATCTTCCTTAGAGTCTGCATTGAAGGGCTCAAATAATGGCTTTGGAGATTGAATTAGCTGGCGGTTCAAAAATTCATTTCCAAATGATGACGGTTTTCTCTTGGCCTGAAAAAATTGAACACATTCAAGTTGACTATCACAAACTCATAAGCCAAAAGATCTACAGCTTCGACTAACAAGAACCCTAGTTAAAGAGAATAACTAAATCTACATTTGTCATCTCCGTCTCTGAAATGTGAAATAAGCCATTATTAACAGCTTGCAAATCAAGTAATTAAGAACAACTTTCTCCATGAGACTTCAGTGTAATTAAAGACCCAGCAGCAACAAAAAGAGTATTCCAACTATATGAACATATACCAAACTATATTGCCTGAAACCAACCGATTCCTTGATGATATGAAATGTAACACAAATCTTTTGAAACAAGAATTTAAACTTCAGAATAGAAGAATATTAAAAGGCTAAAGAATACTAACCAGGCAAAAATAACGGGGCCTAGAATATGGAATTCCAAACTGTAAAGGGCTGAGAATGAACTCTTGTGTGATGAAATTAGTTTTCTCCAGTATTTCAATCAGTTTTGCATGTGTATCAGATATCTGTAGCCAGAAAGGATGCAAAAGAATCAATTAATAGAAGAAACCATTAATGAGACTTATTTAGGATCTTAGTCAAAATGTTGAATTGAAGAACACAAACCTCAAACCCGACAACATTTTCCACAAACAACATACTTGGAGGGTGCAATAAGAATGGGATGAGCTCAAGAATCTGAAGAAAAGAAAACGCCCGTGCATCCCCAGTGTCCTTCTGGAGACCTAACACAAGATTATTGAGCGACATTTTGCTTACAGAATTAAATAAGTTATCATAGAGCGAGAAGAAAAAATCACCTTGTCGCGTGTAAGGTTGACAGGGAGGAGAAAGAAGCCATACGTCAGCACCATATTTGTCTAGGTCAACAGCAGTTAGGCTTTGAATATTTCCCTAACCAACACATAAATCTCAATCAGGTAGATCAACAATGTCCAAGAAACTGAATAGACTTAGTCTATGACATTTAATGTGACGTAAAATTCCTGGCTAAAAATAATTGTGGTGTGGATAATTGTGGCTAAATATTTGTTAAAGGGAAAATGGGCAGGATAATGTCATGCTTCCTGACTGGAAATAAAATTCCTCCTACAGTCTTGACTAACAAATGCATTGGGATAACATAATACAAAAAATAAACATTGGCTTGGATTCAGCATTAAGGCATCCATTACTTTTAACATTTCAGTATTAATGACGCCAATTCTTTTCACCAAGATACAATATCACAACAAAAAAAGTGATAAAAATGTCACTTGAAAAATGAAACACCATTTGAAACTATACAATTTACAACAACAAACACAACCAGCCTAAATATATTATCAGTTCTATGCTGTCAATAACATGCTATAGTGGTGCTATAGTAGAATAGTGTAACATTGGTAGGCTTTGGCGCGGCACTTTTGGCACCAAAACGCTATTATGAAACACGGACACTGGGACACGACAAGACACTGTTACATATATGATAGTATTTGAACTTCATTTACCTTGTATTATTAAAAGAGTTTAAAAAATTATAATCAAAACAAATGTCTTTAATTCTTCATTGATAGTATTGTTTCAATTCATGTTTTAACCCTTTAAGGTGGGTGTGAGATTTGTCCAAAAAATGTATAAGGTGTGTTAAAGAAAAAAAAAACAATTTTTTTTAAACCCTAGTCTGAATTGCCTGAATTGTCCGACACGTGTTTTATGAGTGTCATATAGGTGTCGGACATCAATGCAAATACTGTCGAAGCAAAGAAATAAACTATTTTTTGCAACACTTGTCTGACTTTTTTGACACATGCCATACATTGACGCATGTTGGACACTGCGACATGCCTATTTTTAGAGGTGTTTGTGCTTCATAGTCTATCATAGTTGCTATTTTTAGAGTTGTCTGTGCCTTTTACCCTTATTTTAAGGGTATAAATGTCAATTCGAACCCTTATAAGCAAAAAATTATGTCTTTCATTCTATTATGTAATGGCTCACAAACAATTGTTATGTTCACCCTACTTGTGGTTAAGTTTTGTTATGTTTTTCTTCTCTATTTAAGTTTTATGACTCTGCACTTAAGGTTCTTTAATTATTAAATAGAAAGTGTCTTTAATTGTGCGTATTTTTCTTTTTATGAGTATTTATGTTTACTTTACACACTGATATTTAGTCATTGCAATAGCGGCTGTCTGAGTATCGCTATACCGCTATAGCATTCTAGGAGTCGGTGCTACGCAAAGCTATCTGAGATTAACAGCATAGGATCAGTTCTCAGATGCTGACTGGAAGATGAAAACATCAAATCTTCAACATTGTTTGGCAAACTTTTAATAAATTGACATAATTTGCCAAACAATCATTGACCAACAAAAAGGGTTTGTTACATATTCGAAGAGCTGTTTAAGCAAGAGATGAACCCATTCTTGGGAAACAGATAGAAAGCAAGAGATAAACTTCCAAAAACAACTTTAAGTATAGAATCAAACTATCCAAAACTAACTGAGAGTGCTTTTATATAACCCAAAAATACCCATCTAATCGCAATCCATGAATGCACAAAACTTTAAAATCACAATCCATAACTCACTAAGCAAAACAGGGTAATAGGCACACACACAAAAAAAAAAAAAACTATTAACAATTTCAAATGGAAAAACAACGGGAAAAGAGAAGAGTGAAACCTGATAAGGACGATGAGAAAAGTTATGTTGGTAAACATCATTTGCAATGTTATTGATTTCAAATGCTTCGATCACTTGCGCGTTCACTTGAGCCTTCATCAGCGAGTATCTCTGATAGAACAAAACAAAACACAAATTCAATTTGCAAATTGAAAAAAAAAATGATTTAGGGTTCGACTGGGTCCGTACCATTCCGCCGATTCCGCTGTAGAACTCGAGTACTCTCTGAATCTCTTTCCCCATTACTGCTGCCTGCAACAATCAAGCCACTTCCCACACTTTGAAAAACCACTAGGGTTCTGTACAGTATAATTTCTTTTGAATAAACTGTTATTAACTATATTTATTTGTATTTTTTACAAATTAAATAAAAAGATAGTTGAGATTAACTGATATGAAATAATGGATTTCTATCGCTTTCTTCTTTTATCCTTCAATAAACATTTTAATAATGTATATGAATTGTCTTAATCTAACTCTCTCTGTCCAAATTATTAAAAAATTAAAATTAAAATCACATTTATAATATAAGAAAATTAAACCTTATGGAAAACTCAATTTTGCCATTTTCCTATAAACCTACCACATCATCAAAATTAAGGATAATTTTGATTCAATATTTACCTTTTGAACCTAAAGCAACATGTTGAACCAATTTAATTGGTAATGTTTTTACTTTTTTCACCAATACATGTTTTTTCACTTTATCTAGTTGAACTCACTATATTTGATTACATATGTTCTCTTGTAAAGGAGGATTTCATTTTAAGACGTCTTATTGATATATTGAGGGAAAGCTTTTTAGAGTTGAGAAAAAGGTTGTTATTTCTCTTAGAATGTTAATATCTGGTGAATCTCAGGTCTCGGTTAGAGTTGGTTTTAGAGTTGGCCATTCGACAATTTCTCAGGTGACTTGGAGATTCATTGAAGTGCTTGAGGAATGTGTTAAACATTGTCTCAGTTGGCCTGATTTTGATATATTGCAGGAAATCAAATTTGATTTTGAAGTCTATTGTGGTTTGCATATTCGTAAAATTAGTACGAGCTACTAATTAGGTCATGACAATATTATATTAATGTCGTACCTTGAAAAATATGATATTCGCGATGCACAAAACTAAGGCTTGCACGATCACATATGGACTTATGAGAGTTGTCACTGAACTTTATTTATTCCACGAAGGAAAAGAGAAAATATCGAGAAAATCCATGAGAAAAAGTATAGGGTATGGTCATCGCAACCATGTTGGATTCGGAAGTCGGTTATGTAAGAAGAAGGTACTAGCACTTTCTATATACATCGTACTCGACGAAAATCCTCTAAGTTGTCTAGGGATAAAAGGTGTTTGTCATCTATAAGCTTGATAAGGAAAAGAATGGATGATTACTTGAGAGAAAAAAAAGAGTTTTTATTATTGAGTTCGTCTGAGTTTTCAACCCAGTGCCTACGTATTCCAGAGGGAATCAGAACTCCGTAGTTCTTGTTGAAAATGTTTTGGTTTGTTTTTTTATGAATGATGATATGAAGTGTGTCCTTTTTGAAAAGTTTTAAACTGAAAAGTCAAGTGGCAAAAAGGTTTGTGATTTGTGAAGTGTTTTTTAGGGTTTGAAGAGAAATTAAAGATATTATTAAAGTATTTTTTTGTATTTTTTATAAGAAAAGAATTTTATTTTAAGAGAAGACTCCGAGGGAATCTTTATCCTAATGTTATCATGCAAAAGTGGATATAAATTAAGATCGCAGAAAAAATAACTTAATGTTATCATATTAAAGGTAAAGACCTAAAAATCGCTATGTTTTAATTCGATTTAATCAAGCACAAGACTTAATGAAATCAGACTAAAATCAACCCTAAGGGAGCATATGAATCAGGACAAATGATTAACAATTACGAAAGGTGTGTCGAGCAATCATGTATCAAAACCATGATAAATATTCTCAACAAAGATGCATCAAGAAGTAATCATCAAGATTTAACCAAAGCTCTTGATCAACAATAAAAAATTATAAAGAATTTTCAATCAAAATGATTCAAAAACTAATCGAAACGTTTATCAAGATTCAATCAATATCTAAAATCAAAATTTAACCCAAATCAATATAAAAAAAATAGACTCAACATTAAAAAGAAACAAACTCATTAAGTTAACACTAAGACTACGTAAAGTTACTGTTGAAAAAAATAATGTAATATATATTTTATTTTTTACTCTTTAAATTTTTATCTCCATTCTCTTTATTCAGATGACTCTCTAAGTGCATTGATAATATATTCAGTAGCTACTATTCACTTTTGGAATTTTCTCTTTCAAAAATTCTCTCATTTTAACTCTCACTTTCTGAAATTTCTACCTTTTCTAACATGGTATAAATGCCTTCAAGATTTGTACACAAATTGTTTTTATTCTAAAAACAAAAATAAACAAAATCAACACAATTTGTTCTTGGGTTGTTGAATTTCCCAAAAAGCTACGAGGAAAAAGCACCAAACTACCATGAACCACCACTATTGGTGAGTTTCAATTCTGATCGCCCTAATCTTGTTCTTTAAGGTTTTCAAATGTCACATTTTTTCTCGCTTCTGTCAAATCTCTCGCACCCTATTTCGGAACTTGATTTAAGTGTTGTTATTTCGCTTTCGATTTTGAAATTTCTCTATCATCACACTGTTCCTTTTAATTGGCTAGTCAATTTTTATTCCCTATCGTTTTCCACCAAACAATTAATTCCGCAACTTCACCCAGTGTTATGCTTTGTTTTGAGTATATCCGATACTATTTGATGAAATGTTTGAAAAAATTAAGATTGATGAAATGTTTGAGAAAATCAAGACCCGAAGTTTTATAACCCCACAATTTAACTAATATAAAATAAATAAATAATTTATTAAAATTTTGATGTGTTAATTAAAAATAATAATACAAAACAAATAATTAATTTAATAAAAATTTGGTGGGTCAATTAAAAAATACATATTTGGCAAGTTTTGTTAGTGAAAACTAACATAAAAGATTAATTGTAAGGACAAAAAATTTTGCGAGAATTATTGTTTAAAGAAAAAATTATAAAAACTAAAATTGAATGTTATTATATTTATGAGAACTATTGACATATTTAATTTTATAATATAATTCATGATTTTTACATCAGTTTATTTTTTTATTTTTTTTTTACAAAAGTTTTGTAAAATATTTAATACGATAGATCTATTGAAATAACTTTTATTTAATTTTAAGCTTAATTGTATTTTTATCACTTATTTAAGTGTGTTTTAATTTTTAATTTTATATTTAAACCACAATTTTTTCGTCTTTTAGATTTACTTTCACTAAAAATTAATTTTTCTACTTTTGTACACGTGACATCCGCATTCAATATGAGACAATGTTGCTATGATGCAAATAATATTTTAATATTATTTAGTTAAATATATCTAGAGTCTTCATAAATATCTTAATATTCAACTTTAATCTCTTAAAGTTTTTTTTTTAAATATTCTCTTAATATTTTTCATCCATATTTTTTGTTCATTCGACTAACGTATGTTATAGAGATGACATGTCATTGACACGTGGCAATGTCAATGTGAAAAGATGCTGATATGAATGTCACATGTCATTTTGTCCCTATTTTATATTATTTATATAAATTTAATTTATAACATTGAATATTCCAATGTAACGGTTTTTTGTTTTTTTAAAACAATAATCATTAATAATAAAAAAATCAATTTTAATGTGGTTCATAGTTTTGAGATTTTTGTTTTGAAAAAGGTATGATTTATTTTGGTTTTAATAAAAATTGATATGACCATTAATTAAGTAGTAATGAGTTTTAATGACTTTAAATTCTTGATGGTAGAATAAAGCTTATAAATAGTCTTTGGTTTCCAAAGTTTTCTCTCATCACAATAAGAAGCTCGGAAGAAATAAAGGCAATGCACTCACAACACTTCAACAATGACTGGAGGTAAAACCCTTAATTTTATTTCCGCGTTTTGTTTATTGATCTTGTTGTTCTTTTGTTATCAGAAACATATGATCAATATATATATTTTGGTATAACATTTGGTATCAGAGCATCTACTGTCTGTCTTATTTTCGAATGGTTGTTCCATATTCGGTATTTTTGTGATTTAATTTTGAGTTTTGAATTTTAGAATATAATGTTTCAAAACATATCAGAAGATTAAATAATTTACTTTCCAAAAATTTTGAAATCTGAAAATTTACGGCATGAACAGTAACCGAAATGTACTATAACATTTGGTATCAAAGCATCTACGGTCTATGTCTTATTTTCGAATGGTTCTTCCATAATTTATTTTCCGAAAATTTTGAAATTTGAAAATTTACGGCATGAACAGTAATCAAAATTTCATGAATGTTACCACTAGGCTGCTTTGTTAAACTGTACTTTGATTCTGTTCATATACATATGACTTTATTTTACTGATTATTATGTCTTATTATTTATTTAATTTTTGAATTAAATTTGTGCATAAATTGAAATTGATTTATAATATTATTATTAACTTAAGCAATTGTATGAGATATCTTATTTATTTATTTTTATTCTCTCCTATAATTGAGTTATTATATTTAGTGATCGTTATAATTAATTTAGATTAGCCACAACACCCTTAAATTAATTGAGATTATTTAAAATTTTGAGATCACATAAATTATTAGACATAAAAATAAAATTGTAATTAATTATACATGGTGTAATAAATTTTATCCTACAGGAATTTTTATTATATTTGTATGATTAACTAGGATAAAATGTCAAATTATTTTCATAATTTGCCCACGGGAATTATGAATTAGTACATAATTTGATAGTTTTATCATAAAGTATTAACTTTGGATAGAAAAATAAAATCATTTCATGCACGTAAAATGTGAGGTTGTGTATGTAGTTTGAAAAATCTATCATTTCATGCACGTAAAATGTGAGGTTGTGTATGTAGTTTGAAAAATCTATCGCAAAATTTTTAAATCTTATTACATTAAAATTTAGCCCACAGGTGATTTTTATGTTGCAAGATTTATTTTATGGCATGTTTATATTAATAATGCATATAATTTGGATAATATTTACGGCTCAAATTTTAACATCAATTTTGTTTATTTTTGTTTATTTTTTTATTTTAGCTTCTCAACCTGCTAATTTTTCTGATATCCGATGTGATATACCCGAGCTCAGAAGAGATAACTATAAGCTGTGGAAGGAAAGAATT